GGAGACTCAGGTGCTCCTGATACAGGCCATGGTCTATGCCATTACTTGCTTTGCTTCATAAAGCTGGAAAATGACTAGGGATGATAGAAGAATAGTTGATGCCTTTGAGCTGTGGTGCTGGAGATGAGTATTGAATATACCATGGACTGCTAGGAGAACAAATAAGTTCATCCTGGAGAGGGTAAAGCCAGGTTGCTCCTTGGAGACAAAGATTCTGAAGCTTCATCTGACATACTTTGGGCATGTTGCAAAGAGGGACCAGCCCTTGGAGAGGGCAGTCATGTTTGAGAGGATGGAGGAACGGCACAGGAGAGGAAGACCCTCAATGAGATGGATTGATTCTGTCACTGGGGTAATGGAGATATGTGTGTCAGAGACAGAAAGATTGGCAAGGGATAGAGCAGGGTTTAGGGCTGTTGTACATAGGGTCGCTATGATTCTCAAGCGACTCAACGGCACATAACAACAACAACAACAATGGCTTATTAACTGAAACTTTAGCAGTTAAAATCCATTAGTCACTCCATGGGAGGAAAATAACATGACATAGTCTTTTGTCCCCCCCATAATATTTATAGGATTGGGAACCCAGTAGAGGGTTGCTATATATCAGATTCAATTCCTTTGCAGTTGATTAATCCTCTTATTAGTGCAATTTTTGTGCAGTAGTTAGCCATTAGGCTGCTTATTAAAATGTTGACGATTTGAACATACAAACTACTATTGGAGAAAGAATAGTAGTCTGTATATATCAAGATTACAGACTTAAAAACCCTATAGGGCAGTTCTACTCTGTCCTATTTGGTCACTGTGAACCAGAATCCAGTTGGTCCCCATGAATTTGAGCTTGGAATTGTCATAGAACAGTAACTAATTTCTTATTCTATAGCTGAGTTTATCTGTCTAACAAATAGTTTCCTATTTTTATTATTAAGACAGAAAGTAAGAAGAAGCAGATGCCCTATTCAATTTCTTAAATATTCAATTGGTTTTGTTCCCTGTTGTATAGAAATTACTTTATTACACTTAAGTTGTTTTCATAGTATTTACAAAAGTATTTTGTAGAAGGAAGGAATGAGAGAAGTATAGGTATTTGGTGGGATGTGAATTTACCACATCACCTTAATTGATCTTATTCCATACTGTATAATTTAGACCAGCTTATTGAATGTTTGGTTTTTATTTTATTTAAAATTCAAGTAATGGAAACAATCAGCATTTCCTGTTTATTTTTGACAGATGGGAAAAAAATATATATGAAATATATATATATATAAACTTGATTATGGTAAGTAAATAAACATGTAAATATAAAAATAGTATTTTCAAAGAAATTTTATTTTGTTTATACAAGCAAAGATAGAGGGCTATTAACAGATCATGTATTATTTTTTTAAACAATATTTCTACTCATATTTGTGGAAAGTTTATTCCTTTTTATGGTATATTTTGATCAAACAGAGGCAATAACTTTAAATGGAGAGAGACTGGAGTAATAAGTCAAAGTTCTGAAGTGACTGTCTAAATTACACCTTTATTCTACCATTTTAGACTAGGTGTGGCTTTGGACAAACTACTTAAACTTTTTTTAAAAAACATGCTATTTTATTTCTAAAGTCTTGATTATACCGTTCAATTACTGGTACAGGGATATTCACGCAAATCACTTTTCAGCATGCATTAGCTAATAGTCAATATACAGCCATCATTTCTAATTGGCTGGCTATTGTAAGCTCTCAGGGACTATCTATTTCACAGCATCAAGAAGTCAACAAATCACTTCTGTTTGTATCACATATGCACAGGAGCCTTTTGCTTCCTTTTTTTATTGGTCAGAAATGGATAAAAGTAGGTCATTAGCACTGCGATCAAAGCATAGGTACACACACAAAGGTAAAGCACATGAGGATTAAAAAATGGTAAGAGATTATACCATCTCGGATAGAGTAGAGAATTGTGGGGATGGAAAGGACAAATGTATCCTTCCATTCTTTATGGGGTCTCTGAGTTGGAGATGACGTGAAGGCCCCTAACAACATTAACAACAACGGATTATAATGTGTGTCTAGAAACAAGAAATTAGTCATCTCATGAAGTTAACAAGAGGAAATTTTTTGGTGGTTGTTTTCAGCAACAAAACTGAATAATAACTGATTGAATAACATGCATGAACAAATACATCTGGCTACAAGAAACTCTTGACTCTTTCCATAGGTCCAGTCAGTCGCATTCCTGCATAGTCCATCAGTAGTTACCAATTATGGTTTTTTTTTTAAAAAAAAAAAAAGGACTTTCAATGAAAAAAATCACTGACTGTACAAAACACAATCATCCATTCTCTAGTCTTATTCCTGCCACCTAGGTCATTTACCAACTCCTAGGCCTCATCCCTGGTTTTTTTTTTTGTTTGTTTGTTTGTTTTTTGCTTTTATTTCTGTCCTCAATTATTATTAATGCATCCTGATTACATTTTTCATCAGGTTGAGGATGAAAAGTTGGTAGAAGTTCTCAAAGTGATCATCTTTGGCTTTCGTGGTTGGTGAGTCTATTTGAATAATGGCTCCACAAAGGTCTTCCTTTTGTATTTATGGTTTTATCCTATCACTCACAGCATTGTACAGATAGATCTTGAAATATTCTTTATGACTCTGAATATAACACCAATCTTCAATCTGTCATTCCCAACATAACAGATCATTGTTTCTTGATTCAAAGTAGCCACTACCAGTTCATTTTAGCTCAACAGTGCATAGGATTTTGATCTTTCTGTGTTCCATTTCATTTCTACTGTGATACTGGCAAATTGCATTGTTGTTCTAGGTATAGGTTTCACACGAGCACAATCAAATGTTCTGGCATTCCCATTCTTCTCAATGTCAGGTATAATTTCTTGTGTTCCCACAACAGTCAAATGTCTTTGCACAGTCTATAAAAACTAAATAGACATCCTCTAATACTCTGATTTTAGCCCGAATCCATATGACAGCTAAGCCCCAGTCCAGTGGTCTCTTAAAACACAGCTTATATTTCTGGCCATTTACTGTCAATGTTGTTATGCATTGTCAAGTCAACTACAACTCAGAGTCTAGTATGATTCTTAGTGACTCAAGAACAACAGATCTGAACTTTTGTGCCACCCTCACAATCTCTGAAACAGTCAAGCCTAATGCTGCAGTCACTGTGTCAATTCACCTGGCTGAGAGTGTTTCTCTCCACCTTTCTAAGTTCCCTCTCTAAGGAACAACCTGTTCTATCAACATGCCCGAAGTATGTGAAACAAAACTTCACTTTCTTTGCCTCCAAGAAGCATTCTGGCTCAACCTTCTGCAAGAAATTTTTTTGTACTTTATTTTTTCCATGTGAGAAGTATTTCTGCCCAAATGAGAAATGCAGTTTATAAAGATAACATATCTGGTTTTTTTTTCTTTTTCACTGAGGATGTAATGCAGAATGAGATGACAGAAAAAGGCATTGATGTAAAGACATGCACAATTTCAGAAGTAGTATTTTTTTTAATTCATGCTAAATATAAATGATGTCTCTGAAAATCCAAATTCAATGCAAGCTCTGCAAGAAAAATGGATGGTCTGCAGCCTTTAGGACAATTTCAGAAAACAGAGGGTAATTTTGGGGTAAAACTTTGAGATAACAATAAAGTTTTGAGTTTGAGTAATAAAGTACGGGAAAGTTTTACTCTAAGACTGTTTGTTAGTTATTGTTGTTATTAAGTGTCGTTGAGTCACAGACGACTCATAGTGACCCTGTAAATGAAAGACCTGAATGCTTGTATAAATTTCATCCTTTTTCCAGGTTCACAGAGTTTCCGGAGGCAGTTAGCATGTTATATTTTATAGCAGTCATTTATCACATCCCTCCATTCCCTAAAGCATAATGGTTTCTAATTACCATTCCACATTTGATAATTTGATTTCCTGATCACCAAGAAAAATGTTTTCACAAAGTAAAACATAGTTTGGTAATGTTAAGAAAAAAAATGGGAAATTTATCAAGTATTAAATATGAACATGTAAAGCTAAGGATTGTATAATGTCCATTTAATATTGTATTAATTTATCAAGTATTAAATATGAACATGTAAAGCTAAGGATTGTATAATGTCCATTTAATATTGTATTACCAGTAGCATACTTTTTTATTTAATAAATCAACACATAATTCATTTTTAACTGTTTATGTAAGTAAACACCAAATGATAGCATCAGCCATTATGGAAAACCACTGAAATCAACATCAAGTTGAATTCTGACTCCTTTGAATAGGCATCAACTATGCATTGAATGGTGCTAACTAGGATAGCTAAAAGAAATTGGGATGTTGCCTAAGTGAGAAGTGCCCGTCTTCAATAAAAACACAAGTTACAGAGAACACACAGGTGTGAATCCTGCTGTTATCGTGGAATCCACAGCAATTTTCACCTAAGGCCAAACTGAAATGAAATAGCCAGGCAGATGTAATGTAAATAGCATTTAGTAATGTCATCTGATATGGACATGAGAGGCATAGAAATGATTCAGCGCATATGATCACTAAGGAGAAGGCAGAAAAGTCTTAACTAGTACATAAATAAGTTGAAATAGCATATATGTTAAAAATGTACAATATTTAGCTAAATTGGAACATACATGTTAACATGGCTTTCCTAATAAGAAATGACACAATAAAGAATTTTAACTTCCCACGTATATTTGACTTTAATGTGAATTCATAGTTTAAGATCTAGGATGTAATTAGTGATTAATTTTCATCATTTTCCAGAAAAAATAGCTCTATGGATAGGCATTACTGTTTGACAGTTTCAATTCTGAATGTATGGAATTCCTACACAATAGTTTCTGTTTCCTATAGACTCAACCTGTATAGAATATGGTTACAATTCTTGTAACACTCGAGGCTACAGTAAGAACAAAAAAAAAAAAAAGAAAGAAAAAGAAAAAGAAATCCAAGCCATGCTCTTAGACAAAATAAGAATGGCAGCTTACTTTTGGGGAATCGAGGTGGATTATCATTGACATCAGTGAGGGTAATGTTGACAATGGTGGTTCCAGCTAATCCTCCCAGCTGTCCTCCCATGTCCTTCGCTTGGATGAGCACTTGATACTGTTCTTTGACTTCCCGATCCATGTTTGGCAAAGCTGTTCTAATCACACCTTGAGCCGGGAAAGATAATGATAAAGCACACAAATTAGGTTATGTTTTCTAAAATAAAATTGGCTGAACTTACAAAACCATTCTATATACATTTGTTTGCAAAGTCATGCTAACAAAAACTAATGTCCTTTTCAAAAAGTAAACGGCCAGAAATGGGCAATGATTGGGGCATAAGTGAACATATTACAATAATAAATATATTTGAAAATGTTATGTAAAGAATACCTCCCCTCAAATAATCAACAGTCATCGTATCAATCAAGTTAGAAACATTTATTCAGCAGTTTCTATATAAGAAAAAATATTGAAAGAATGCATGTTTGATTCTTGAGTGGATTATTTATCATTTCCCTTCTTTGTTCTTATTTTGATTTTTTAGAGAATTTATAAGAAACCCTGGTGGTATAGTAGACTGAAGGGTGGGCTAATGACTAAATATTGACAGCTGACTCCTGCTAGCCTCTCTGAGGGAGAAAGAAAAGGCTGTCTATAGATTTAAAGTCACAAATACCAGGCAGAGGGTTGCCATCAGCAGGAATGAACTCAGAGGCACTGCATTGTCTTTAGGCTTCTTTAACTAATTGTTGTCACTGCCCTTGAGTCAGTTATGACTAAGAGCAACCCTCTCTTGAGTCTCTGAGATGATAAATCTTACTGGGAAGACATTGTGCGTGTTTCTCCCTAGCAGCAGCTGGGAGAGATGGTGTTTATGCACTATCGTTGTAGATACATTTCTTTTCCAATTTTCCTTAGAAACATTAAACTTCTCTTTTTTAATGTATTTTACTTTATCATTCAGAATACTTACATCTTTCAACAGGAGAATTTTCCCTTATATTTCATTAAGCTTTGACACTGAAAAACTCTAAGACCACTGGTTCGAATCTACCAGTTGCTCTGTGGAAAAATAGGGAGCCTCTATTCGTGTGAAGCTTTATAGTTTGGGAAACCTGGAGTGTTGCTGTGAGTTGGAATCAACTCTGCAATAGTAGCTTATCTCTCATTAGCGGATTCTCCTAGAACCTTGAACTCAGTGCCATTGAGTGAAACCCCACTTAGGACAAAATCATGTGTTATAGATTCATACAGTTTGTTTGTACTTTTTACTGCAATAGAATGTCATCCCTTTTTTTGAAAACCAGTATGTCCAAACTGTCAACTTTTCAGGTTAATGGTCAGGTGTTAACTATTGCGCTGCCAAGAGACCTATGTGGGAAAGCACCCACTATTTAGAAGGAAATATATGTATTTCATTTACTGAATGAGTAAATGAATGCATAACTATACGATAGAGTCATAGATCTCACCTCCTCCAGGGTGATTAACTGCCTCTGAAAACTCACTGGAGAGCCACCTATGGGTTGGTTCTGACTTGACAGTATATGGCAGCAACAACTCATATTTATAAGGGAGATTTGTAATAGGGAGCTCTGATGGTTTAGTGGCAAGAAGTTGTGCTGCCAACCCAAAGGCCTGTGATTCAAATCCATCAGCTGATACACAGGGGGGAGATGGACAATCTCCTCCAGTGTGATTTACTGCCTTTGAAAACCCACTGAAGGGTCAGCTATCAGCAGGTGTCTACTCAATGGTACATAACAACAACTCATATTTCTGTGTTTCTGTTGAGTTTGTGAAACTAACTCATAATGCGTATTTATTCACATTGTTGTTGTTGTGTACCATAGGGTCAGAATCGACCCATAGCTGACCTTCCAGCATTTTTTCAGGGGCAGGTAATCAGATGGGAGGAGACTGCCTATCCTTCTCCCATGGAGGAGCTAATGGCCTCAAACCACATGCCTTCGGGATTGCAATGCAGCTTTTTGCCACTAGGCCACCAGAGCTAACTTATTCACAGTTGTTGTTGTTAAGTGCTGTTGAGTCGAGCACAACTCATAGCGACTCCATGAACAAAAGACCTGAACCCTGGTCTCTAACTATCTTCATTTCTCTACATTCATAGACTTTCCAGAGGTATGTTGTTTAGGAAGTGGATGACACTCCTGCTTCCAAGCCTTTCTCAACTCTGGGAGCTCCATCAAACATTGTCCACCATGGGAAGCCATTATGGCATTTGACACACCAATGGCACAGTGTTCAGCATCACAGAAACTCCAACTTACTTCAAATTTACAGACAGTGCTGTATAACTTCCAAGAATATTCATCCTAAAAACAAGTAACAAGAGGCCAGACAGCTACAGGCCTGAGGGCACAATCACCTTTTTAATTAATTTATTTATTTAATTTCAATGAACATCTACAGAGATTTTGGAATTCCATTCATTCATTGTTGTACTTTTCTCCCCCCCTCCCCGCCCCCGCCGTTCACTCCTCTC